GTTTAACAAATGTCAACATTTTGCCATATTTGCTTTCTATCTCTCTTTTTTGGAAAAAAACAAAACAAAAAAACCCCCCAAAACTCTGATAAATCTAAAGCCCTCCCATTTTCCTTTGTATAGGTAACCAGTGTCCCAAGTTAGTGTAGATTCTTCTTGACCATATATATATACACATATATACGTACACATTTACTACAGAGGTATACACATATATAAAATATGGGGGCCCAGGAAGCGATCCTCCTGCCTTAGCCTCTGAAGTAGCTGAGATTACAGGTATGAGCTACCATGCCTGGCTAATTTTTGTATTTTTAGTAGAGATGGAGTTTCACCATGTTGGCCAGGCTAGTCTCGAATTCCTGGGCTCAAGTGATCCATGCACCTCAGCTTCCCAAAGTGTTGGGATTACATACACACATATAACACATATATTAACAATATATGTACATATATACTATCATACTGTGTAAATCTCTTTGAAATTTGCTTTTTCACTCATTTTTGAGATTTACCCGTGTCAGTACATTGTAGATCTGATTCGTTAACTTAAAATGCTCTATAGTTTCCATTGTTTGAATAAAACTGTTTATTTGTTCCCTTCCTAATGGACTGTTGGTTGTTTCCATTTTTGTTATTACACAGCACTACAGTGAAAATTCTTGTATCGATGTGTGGGCGTTTTTTCCTTTTGAGACAGGGTATTGCTCTGTCACCCAGGCTGGAGTGCATTGGCACAATCACAGATCACTGAAGCCTCAACATCCTAGGTTCAAGCAATCCTCCCACCTCAGTCTCCCAAGTAGCTGAGACTACAGGCGCGTGCCACCATACCCAGCTAAATTTTAAATTTTTTGTAGAGACAGGGGTCTTGCCATGTTGACCAGGAGGATGGTCTCAAACTCCTGGGCTCAAGTGATCCACCCGCCTCAGCCTCCCAAAGTGCTGGGATTACAGGCGTGAGCCACCGCGCCCGGCCTGTTTTGCTAGGCATATGGTTGCTAGATCACAGTGCATGCACATCTTCGACTTTTAGTAGCTATCGCCAAATTCCCCAAAGTTAATCTGAAACCAGTGGGGCGTGTCAGCAATGCTCCTAGCGTGCACACACCAGGCCGGGCTGTGACAGCCCTCGGGCTGGGCCCCAACCCCACTTCGAGATCCGAGCCGGGGCCAGGAGCAAGCAGAGGCCAAGCAATGGGAGCGGGCACCTCCACCTGCAAGGACAAGGCGAGCACCTTCCTGGTCCCCCAAAAGTGCAGAGAGGCCCGGGTCCACAGTCCGGACTTGGGCGGCTGCTGCTGCTCTCGACTCCTGCCTGCTAGGTGGAGCGTGATGCCCGGGCCGCACCCTTCGCGGCCTGGGGCAGGGGCTCCTGGTCCTCGCCGGGCCGGGGCCGGGTCTGGGTTTGGGGCAGGGGCGTCGTCTCCGCGAACCTACCCCCGTGGCCGCGGCACTCAGGAGTGGCCCGTAGTTCCCCTCGCCCGGTTCGCGGCACGGCCCGGGGCGGGGCGCCTCCGGGAGCGGATCGTGGGCCCGGGCCCAGCCTTCGGGAGTGTCAGGCCCGCGGTCACCCGGATGCGGGGCAGACCCCAGGGACGCGACCTCGGGCGGCCCTGCGCAGAGTCTCCTCCGGAGGCGCAGGAACTCCGCACCCTTGGTAGAGCAGGCGCCGCTCTCCCTTCCGGCGTTGGGCCCGGGAATGAGGCCCCAGCTTCGCCTCCTCCCAGCGGCCTCCCGGCAGCAGCAGCGGGCGAGAGCGGCGACGCGGGGCCAGGGTCCTGAGCCCCGGAGACTCGGGCCTGGGGGCATGTCCCGCCCGGCCGCGCAAGGGTGGGGGCGGCGCAGTCGGTTGCCTCGGGGACGCGAGCACAGTGTACCCACCGTCGCCACTGCTGCTCCGGCAGCCGCTCCTGCCACCGCCGCCCGCGCCCCAGCGCTGCGGACGGCCCGCCGCTGCCATGGGTATATTAAATATGTTAATATTAACACTACAGGTAGCCTCAAATTGGTTCATATCAGGTTTTGTCACAAAGTAAGTTTAAACCAGAACAGGCGCAGTGGCTCACGCCTGTCATCCCGGCACTTTGGGAGGCCTAGGCGGGCAGATCACCTGAGATCGGGAGTTCGAGACCAGCCTGGCCAACATAGCAAAACCCCTTCTCTACTAAATATACAAAAATTAGCCAGGTGTGGTGGAGGTTGCCAGGAGACTGAGGCAAGAGAATCTCTTGAACCCGGGAGGTAGAGAATGCAGTGAGCCGAGATCTGGCCACTGCACTCCAGCGGGGCAACAGAGCGAGACTCGTCTCAAAAGTAAATAAATAAATAAATAAATAAATAAATAAATAAGGGAGTTTAAACCAAATTTAGGGGAGCAAACTTAGTTTTCAGAGATTTTCTATTTTGGAATTGCAAATAAAGGATTTTAAGCTTCTACCAATTTATATTCCCACCAGCCACTTATGACTTCTCATTTCCCCATATCTTTGCCAATATGGTGTATTAGGCTTTTTAATTTTTGCCAATCTGATGAGTGTGAAATGAAGTCTTTATTTTGATTTGAATTATCATAATTACTAGTGAGGTTGAGCATTTTTCATTTGTTTATGACAATTCCAGTTTCCTCTTCTGGGAATTTCCTGTTTCTCTTAAATTGTTCTTCTTTTATTGATGTATTCTGGACACAAACAAGTTGTAATGAATTGCTAATATCTTGCCTTTTCATATTTATGGTTTCATCATAAAGAAGTTTAAAATTTCAAGGTAGTCAAATTCATCAACATTTTTCTTTATAAATTATGTCCTTATTTAAGAAACCCACCCCTTTTCAAGTTCATGGTTGTATTTGCTTGCAGATTTTTTTTAAGTTTTAAAATTTGGCTTTTTATATTTAGTTTTAAAAAATATATCCAGAGTCTGTCTTTGTGTACAATGTGAGGAAGGAATCTAGTTTTATATTTTGCATCTGTTAGCCAGTTGTTCTGGTATCATGTGCAAATTGGTGTCTTCTTTTCCCGCTGATGTGTAGTAAAACCGCCTCTGTCACAGTCGAAGTTCCCATCAATATGTGGCCCATCTCTGGGTCCTCTGTTCAGCCCCATGGTCTCTTTGTCTGTCTTGCTAATAATAATTCTTTATTATGGTAGGACAAGCCCCTCCCATCTTATTTCTCACTTTCTTCTTCAATAGTGTCCTAGCTAGTCTTGACCCTTTAGTCCTTTATTATATAAATGTTTTAAAAACTTGTCTATTTCCATAGAAAAACTAGTTGGACTTTTTTTTTTTTTTTTTTTTTTTGAGACACAGTCTCCCTCTGTCGCCCAGGCTGGAGTGCAATAGCGTGATCTCAGCTCACTGCAACCTCTGCCTCCCAGGTTCAAGCGATTCTCCTGCCTCAGCCTCCCAAGTAACTGGGATTACAGGCATGTACCACCACGCCCAGCTAATTTTTGTATTTTTAGTAGAGATGGGGTTTTGCCATGTTGGCCCACCTGGCTGGTCTCAAACTCCTGACCTCAGGTGATCTGCCTACCTCAGCCTCCCAAAGTGCTGCGATTACAGGCATGAGCCACGGCACCTGGCCAGGATTTTTTTTTTTTAAAAACAAACTCTCAGATCACAAAAAACTGGTTGGATTTTGATGAGTATTGTCTTTGCGTCACAATTTCCCTGTTAATAAGGAGGGATGAAAATACTTCTTTTATTTTTTGACACATAGTCTGGCCCTGTTGCCCAGGCTGGAACACAGTGGTGAAATAATGGCTCACTGCAGCCTCAACCTCCCAGGCTCAAGCAAGCCTCCCACTTCAGCCTCCTAAGTAGCTGGGACCACAGGCATGCGCCACCATGCCTGGCTAATTTTTGTATTTTTTGTTGTGACAGTGTTTCGCCCAGGCTGGCCTCAAACTCTTGAGCCCAAGCGATCCACCTACCTCAGCCTCCCACAGTGCTGGGATTATAAGCATGAGCCACTGTACCCGGCCTGAAAATACTTTTTCTTTTCCCTCAAAGGAGAGAGGGCAGTCACACCCCACTTATTCTGAGGTTACATTTCAGCAAACTCCAAAGTCTGGAAAACAAGAGAAAATAAGAATAAGGTCAAAACAGCCTCTGATAAGCTCTAGACACCTCAGAGCCTATGTGCTAAATCACACCCACTTTTGTCACAAGTGGTCTTCTCAGGCCTCCCTCAGAACCTGTTTACGTTAGTCACTGTTCTAGGAAACTTGATGGTCTGATTTCCTAGCCTACAGCAGATTTAAGGCAGCTGCAACTTAGAAGAAACATGGAGGAAAACATGCTGATAACTAACATCTGACAGAGATAGAAAAGTCCAACTACTTATCAAAACCAGATGCAGGAACATGAGAGGGCAGCAGAGCAGGGCTGCTCACTTCTGAAACCTTTGGAGGCCCCACTGCACATATGATGGACAGAAGGCAGCTCTGTTCCACACAGTCATTCAGCAGCCAGGAGTTAACCCTTCCTTGTGGGTTCCGGGGCTGCTCTGGCTGTGGACATTCTAGGCAGAGTGGGAAGGTACAGTGAAGAAGTTCAAGTCCAGCATTTCCTCTTAGGCAAGTGACGGGGAAGATGCACCCACCTACTGCAATTTCATCCCATTGCTGAGAGGTTGGCACTAGGCCCTACCTAGCTGCAGAAGGACTGCGAGATGTAGTCTTTGCTGGGCATATAAGGCCTTCTAGAGCATCGTAGTGATATAGGAGTTAAGAAGAAATTTCTAGCTGGACATGGTGGCTCATGCCTGTAATCCCAACACTTTGGGAGGTCGAGGAGGGTGGATCACGAGGTCAAGAAATCGAGACCATCCTGGCCAACATGGTGAAATCCTGTCTCTACTAAAAATACAAAAATAGCTGGGCATGGTGGCGCGTGCCTGTAGTTCCAGCTACTTGGGAGGCTGAGGCAAGAGAATCGCTTGAACCCAGGAGGCGGAGGTAGCAGGGAGCCAAGATCGCACCACTGCACTCCAGCCTGGCAACAGAGCGAGACTCTGTCTCAAAAAATAAAATAAAATAAAATAAAATAAAATAAAATAGAAAAAAAGTAAAAGAAATTTCTTAGGCAGATAATGAGGGCAAGGAAGTCTTCGGTAAGGTTTTCTTTTTAATCAAAAGCAGCCCCCAAATCATTTCTTTTTCTAACAAAGAGCAGCCTGTAAAATCGAGCTGCAGACGTAGATAAGCAAGCTGGAAACTTGCACGGGTGAATGCTGACAGCTGTGCCGACAGGAAAATGCTACCTGGGGGCCAAAATGTCATGTTCAACTTTTCTTCCCTTTTCTTTGTCAACCACATGTACAGTAAGGAACAGACAACATGGCGCCGGCCAGACAGAGACTCCATCTGCATAATAAAAGATTAGGGTGGAATGGCCAGCTTTTTCACGCACTATGCAAACGTCACACCTGGCCCAACCAATCGCTCAGGCCCTATGTAAATCAGACACCACCTTCTCAATTTCATCTGTAAAACCCCGCGCACCCCCACCCCGTGCTTTTTACCACAAAACTGGAAGATCCACTCCGGAGCCTCTCTCTCTGCAGGAAAGAAAGCTATTCTCTTCTCTTTCTTTCGCCTGTTTAACCTCCACTCTTAAACTCACTTCTTGTGTGTCCGTGTCTTCAATTTCCCTGGCGTGAGACAAGAAACCTCGGGTATTTGCCCCAGACAGTGACGCCGCTTCAGCAGGACCTCAGCTTTGACTCTGAGTGAGATGGGAGCCATTGGAGAGCTCTGAGTCCAGCCGTGACCTGATGTGATTTGTAAATGATCCCTCAGGTTGCTGTCTTCAGAAGGCGGAGAGGGTGCAGGTGGGGGCAGGGGCAAAAACAGGGACCCCCCGTTGGGATGATCTGCTCTCGGAAGCTTTCCTGGCCCCTCCTCCCCTCAGGTGGAGCTGACCTCTTCCTCTGTTGTTCTCTAGGCTTCCACAACATTTCCCATAATTTAAACACTGACCGTTTACTTGTCTGTCTTCCTCCAGGTCAATATATCCATAACACCTGACCCAGAACAGGTGCTTGGCAAAGTATGTTTCCAGCATGTTCGATACAATTGAAATAACAGCTGGAATCCAGTATGCTTGTCAATGATCTTTTTTAAAAATTTATTTATTTTTTAGAGACAAGGTCTTGTTTTGTTACCAGGCTGGTACAGTGGTGCCATCATAGCTTATTGTAACCTTGAACCCTCTTGAGGCTCAAGAGATCCTCCTGCCTCAGCCTCCCAAGTAACTAGGACTACAGACCATGCCACTATGCAGAGCAAATTTTACAATCTTTTGTAGAGACAGGGTTTCGCTATGTTTCCCAAGCTGGTCTAGAGCCCCTGGCATCAAGCAGCCCTCCCGCCGTGGCTTCCCAAAGTGCTGGGATTATGGGCATGTGCCACCGTGCCTGGCCAGGGATCCTTAACTGCAGGAAACAGAAACCAACTCTGGTTGTCTTTAAATAAAAAAGAAAACTTGGGAGATGCCCAAAACCCACAGGAAGTTTGGAGAACTAGGTCTGGACAAAGAACAGGAAGTAGCAGAGAGGTTCTTGGCAGTCAGGCTGTGTGGCTGTGGTGAACAAGTCAACTGCCTCTCCCACCTTGTTTCAAAGTCCTGGGAAGAGCTCTGACTAGAAGGGCTGAGGTCAGGTGTCGACGCTTTGGTCTCACTGGGGCAGGGAGAGGAAGAACTGGGGCAGGGAAAACCTTCAGAGACCCCTTTGGCTTCCATGATGGGAGGGCAAGGCTCCCTGATTTTGTGTCTCACCAAGACTGTGCTGGGAGGAGGCAGGCAATGGGACGCAAGAGCAGAGAGCTGTGAGGGTGCCCAGTGCCAGCAAATGTCCATGACAATTTCCCAGGGCTGGAAAAGCACAGAGGTACGAGCTGGGAACTGGGAACTGGGGACTGTACAGGAGATGAGTCTTCCTTGTCTTTGCATCCCCAGGGCTTAGCACAGCACCTAGTACTCAGATGCTCATCTGATGCTTATCCCATGAGTGGATGGATGGAGGGATGAGCTACAAAAACCCAAGGGCTGTGAGTATTACTCCTTCCTTCCTTCCTTCCTAGCCAGAGTCTTTCTGTGTAACCCAGGCTGGAGTGCAGTAGCATGATCCTGGCTCACTGCAACCTCTGCCTCCTGGGCTCAAACAATCTTCCCACCTCAACCTCCTGGGTAGCTGGGACTACAGGCACATACCACCATGCTCAGCTAATTTTTTTTTTTTTTTTTTTAATTTTTAGTAGAGGCAGGGTCTCACTGTATTGCCCAGGCTGAATAGTTCTAGACAATTGATTTTATGAATCAAAAGGAGATGAGATGGCAGCAGCCTCAATGAAGAGATGATTGCAAAAAAGAAAAAAAGACTTACCTCAGGGGACAAATTGTAGCACTGTTTCCAAAGGCCCCATTCATCTAGCTCTGAGAAGGATTAACATTTATTTAAATAAATTGGCCCCATGCAGTTTGGGCTGATTATGTTGGACACACTGGAGGGATTGGGCAGCGGGAGGTGGGCCAACCTCCAGATTCTCTCAGGAAGCCATGGATCTGGCCCTGACATCCCATCCAGGAGTGAGCTCCAGCAGTCTGGGGAAGAACCAAGCAGGACGTTTTGACTACACGTGCCAAGAAGCCAGCATCTTCCAAGGAAATCCGCTGGGCTGGGCACCAAGGAGTGTCACAATCCATGCATAGTGAGTTGAGGGGTTGGCCTTAGAACCTGCCTGGAGGTCATACAGCCCAGAGGTTTCCAAATGTGCTCTTGGAGCCTGTGAAGTCACAGAAGTGTCACAGGTGCATCCAGAAGTGAAGATAAGGAGGCAACCCCTGAGCTCCTCATCCCAGTTGCCTTTGACCAGAGCAGCAACACACTTTCCGGTTTTTCTTTTCTTTTTTTTTTTTTTTTTTGAGGCGGAGTCTCGCTCTGTCGCCCAGGCTGGAGTGCAGTGGCCCGATCTCAGCTCACTGCAAGCTCCGCCTCCCGGGTTTATGCCATTCTCCTGCCTCAGCCTCCTGAGTAGCTAGGACTACAGGCGCCTGCCACCTCGCCCGGCTAGTTTTTTGTATTTCTTAGTAGAGACGGGTTTTCACAGTGTTAGCCAGGATGGTCTCGATCTCCTGACCTCGTGATCCGCCCGTCTCGGCCTCCCAAAGTGCTGGGATTACAGGCTTGAGCCACCGCGCCCGGCCCGCTTTCCGGTTTTTCTTTTTTTTTTTTTTTTTTTTTTTTTTTTTTGAGACGGAGTCTTGCTCTGTCGCCCGGGCTGGAGTGCAGTGGCCGAGCGGGGACTACAGGCGTCCGCCACCTCGCCCGGCTAGTTTTTTGTGTTTTTAGTAGAGACGGGGTTTCACCGTGTTAGCCAGGATGGTCTCGATCTCCTGACCTCGTGATCCGCCCGTCTCGGCCTCCCAAAGTGCTGGGATTACAGGCTTGAACCACCGCGCCCGGCCGCTTTCCGGTTTTTCAAGGGAGATTCTTTTGAATAAAGAGTTCTGTGGGCTAGGTGCACCTGTAATCCCAGTATGCTGGGGAGGCCAAGGTGGGAGGATCACTTGAGACCAGCCTGGGCAACACAGCAAGACCCCGTCTCGAAAGAGAGAGAGAGAGAGAGAGAGGGAGGGAGGGAGGAAGGAAGGAGAGAAAAGAGTTCTGTGTACAAAAAAAAAAAAGTTTGGGATCTACTTCAGTGTTTTCAGGAATATAGATGGGAAGGACACAGAATTACGTTATGTGACCTTATTAAGCCTTGGTTTCCCTACCTATAAAATGTGGATAACATCAGAGGATTGTAGGCTGGTGCGGTGGCTCATGCCTGTAATCCCAGCACTTTGGGAGGCCGAGGCAGGCGGATCACCTGAGGTCGGGAGTTTGAGACCAGTCTGACCAACATGGAGAAACCCCATCTCTACTAAAAATACAAAATTAGTCGGGTGTGGTGGGTGGCGTGTGCCTGTAATCCCAGCTACTTGGGAGGCTGAGGCAGAAGAAGAGCTTGAACCCGGGAGGCAGAGGTTGCGGTGAACCAAGATCACCCCACTGCACTCCAGCCTGGACAACAAGAGTGAAACTCTGTCTAAAAAAACAAAAACAAAAACAAAAACACTCAGAGGATTGTGGTGAGATTAAATGGGATAAGGTATGTGGCAGGATATTATTTTGAGACACTCATCGATGTTCGTTTTTCTCCCTGTATTTTCCCATTTCCTTTCCCGCATTCAAGCAGCATCGAGGGCAGGGGCAGAGTGAGTAGTACCCTAAAACTCTTTCTTAAAAGCCTGAACCCTTGGGGAACTGAGCTGTGTCTAGAAGCGAGAAAAAGTGAAGAGAAGATTCGTGCAAACGCTCAAGGCACCTTGGCCGGAAGTAGAGGGGAGACCAGACCTCACACTCCTCCAGAACCAGCAGGGTCTCCTGTCCCAGAAAGGAATGACAGATGGCAAAAGATCTGTGGCCCTGGAGCAGTTCTCGGGGAGGTAGTGAGATCCTCTAGGCTGACCACGTTGAAGTAACATGAAAACATTGGCCCTGAAGGGGCTCTGGGGGTGCGGCAAGGACAGCGTCAGAGTGATGGATGGTTTTCTGAGGACCAAATCCTACCACGTGATGTTGCACAAAGACCTCAGAACTAGGACATAAATCCTGGAAGAAGTTACACATTTAGGCCAGGTGGGGTGGTAATCCTAGCGGCATCTGAGGCAGGTGGATTGTTTGGGCCCAGGAGTTTGAGACCAGCTTGAGCAAGATAGTGAAACCCCATCTCTACTAAAAATACAAAAATCAGCTGGGTACAGTGGCATGAACCTGTCATCCCAGCTACTCGGGAGGCTGAGGCCGGAGAAATGCTTGAACCCTGGAGGTGGAGGTTGCAGTGAGCCCAGATGGAACCACTGCACTCCAGCCTGGGCGACAGAGTGAAATCCTGTCTCCAAAAAATAAAGAAAGAAAGAAGTTACATATTTTTCCCCACCAGCCTAATGGCAAAGGAACTCCGAATCAGAAATGGGGCACAGGTACAGAAAAACAAGAAAGTTGTTCTGCCTGCCCACTGGAGCTGTCCCGGCACTAAGTGAAGGCCTGCCATGTGTGTCTAAGGCCTGGAGCCAGCCCAGAGGCTGCACTTGCATCTCTCAGCCCTCTCCCTGCTCGTCTCTGTGCCTCTTCAGTCCAGTGCTTCCTCCTTCCCAGGCCCCATCTGTTCTGTAGTTTTCTCTCAACCTGGCTTCCTGGGAAGGGCTGCAGCCATGTTTGAGGAGCCCAGTAAAACACCCCCCAGGGCTGTTGCCTTCTTCCTCCAGGCTAACTGAATTCTTGCAGGGGCTGGAAAGAGGTGGGTGGGAGGACAGGGCAGGCTGATCTGGAGAGTCTGGCTTCCTGGGCCCCGGCAGAGCAATGTGACCTGATCCCACACTTGGCCAAGGCAGCTGCAGACATTTGCAAAGTGACAAGAGGAGAGGAGGGACCTAAGAAGAAAACAGCATTTGCACAGCACATGGAAGTGCCTGGAAATGTTTTCTGGACACATTATTCTTCTCTAGGGTGATTTTCAAGGCCAACCAAGCCTGGAGACTAAAGCTTCCAGAGGTGAGTCACTGGCCCAATGTGGCCACAGCGGCTTCCTCTCTGCAGTGTGTGTGTGAGTGAAACCACCTTTGCAAAGATTGTAACTTTGAGAAAATTATGGCAGTGAAAGAGATCTAATCTAACCCACCCCCATCTTGCATTTGCCTTAATCATTCCTGGGCTTAGGCTAAGCTAACTTTGGGAGACATTTAGATTATTGTTTATTTGTTTGTTTGTTTGTTTATTTATTTATTTAGAGGCAGGGTCTCTCTCTGTTGCCCAGGCTGGGGTCCAGTGGTGCGATCTCAGCTCACCGCAACCTCCGCCTCCCAGGTTCAAGTGATTCTCATGCCTCAGCCTCCCAAGTAGCTGAGACAGGTCCGTGCCACTACACTCAGCTAATTTTATTGCATTTTTAGTAGAGATGGGGTTTGCCCTGTTGCCCAGGCTAGTCTCGAATTCCTAGCCTCAAGTGATCCACCCACCTTGGCCTCCGAGTGTGATGGGATCACAGGCATGAACTACAGCACCCTGCCAAGGTTATAGTTTAAATTATACTAGGCCTTCCCCAAAAGTCAACTGCCTTTTAAAGCTGATGAAGGGCCATTAGACTAGGGGGAGAAGAGGAACCTGATTTCTGATAAGGCGTAGCCATTATTCCAGAGGGATCCTGCAGATAACATCACTATTGTAGACTGACCTTTTGAGATATCTTTTCAGATATTTTCGCATGTCTGACACCCATGGCTCCACCTGGACCTGAAGGCTCCTGTGACCCCACCCAGGAGTGACTCAGTTCAAGACAACAGCTTTAACCCCCTCTGATTTCATCTCCACTCCAACCAATCAGCAGCAAGCACCCATTGCCTGGCCACCCCCACCCTTTACCCAAACTGCCTTTGAGCCTTGGAGGAGATTGATTTGAGTGATAACTCCGTCTCCTGTGTGGCATGGCTGGCTACAAGTCAATTAAATTCTTTCCTTACTGCTATGGCGTGTTCTTTATTTGTGCAGCAGGAAGGAAGAACCTATCGGTTACATAAGCATGTGTGTATATGAGTATATGTATGTATTGTGTATGTGTGAATGTATGTGTGTATATAGTATGTTTGTCTATGTGTGTATAGGAGTGTGTGTGTGTGTGTGTGTCTATGTGTCTATTTCAGGACAGAGGCTCTCCCTAGATCTTTAGAGCCGGTAGGACATCATTTAGCAATCCCCCAAATCCAATCACTCCTTTCTAGAGATGTTAAAACCAAGGCCCAAGGGACACGACCTGCCTGAAATCGCACCCTTCTCCAGTGACAAAGGAGGAAGTGGCCTGGGAGTCAGAAATGGTCTCACCTGCACCCCAACTCTTGGCCCTTCTTGCTTGGTAGAGGTCATTCTCTCTTGACAGCACAGCCGCTTGATGAAAATAGAGCAGTTAGCATGTCCAGCACTAGCCCACTCTGGGCCGAGCCCTGTGCTTTGTAACTGACATAGGTTATGTCATTCAGCGTACCCCTCACAGTGATCTCTCAAAATAGACATTTTGATGTACATTTCACAGAGGTGGAAACCGAAGCTGGCTGGGTGAGTTTCATTTCCCACAGCCTGCTTACTTGTTCTATTTATGTAGTCATGATTGACATTTTTGAGGACATACTATGTGCCAGGCACTGTTCTAAGCACTTGGTACATGTTAGCTTCTTTTGTCCTCATCATAGCTGGTACTATGACCACCCTATGTTACAAATGAGGTCCCTAAGGCACAAAGTTTAAGTAATTGCTCGAGGTAAATCAGCAAGTAGAGGTCAGAAATCTAAAGGCAGTGAGGGAGGGGACCAGTGAGACCAGAAGGGAGGAAAGCCCTAGAAGTCTGAGTTAACCGCAGTGGGCAACTGGGGCTCACCCCCACCGGGGACGGCTGTGAGCCTGGGTCAAACACACTTCGAGGGTATTTAGCTGAGGGACTGTGAGTAGCCCCGTTTTTCTAAGCGATGGTTAATTATTTTTTCTCTCTTCTTTTCTCGTTCCCCTGTTCCCCAGTTTCCCACTTCCTACTCATTCCTTTAGACATGCAAATATAACCTTTTACCTCACCTTTCAGCAGATGTTCCCTACAGGGCAAGTTCATTTAACTTTGTGCTCCAAGATAGATCTCTCCTAGAGAGTTACCAGTTGATTTGCAAACCAAAGCCTGCCCATCAGGGAACTCTTATCCTCTACCCGGTTGCCTCAGAACTTTCGCTCACCAAGAGGCTGCCTTGAGAGATAACAGCCAATTTCCGTAAGACTCCCTCCCATCTGGGGATTTCTTAGCCTAGTCCTGCTCACGAAGGCTCTAGCAGTCACCAGTTCAACTGCCCAGTAGCTAAGGTACCAGAGCTAACATGCAGACCCCCACTTGCTCACTTCTTCCCCTGCCTTTTAAAAGTGCCTGCTTTCTGCTCCAAAGGTAAAGCAGTATATTTAAAGGCGGGACACCTGTACTCCTTCCCCTAAGCTAGCTTTGGACTAATTTATACCAGGCATTTATTTATTTATTTATTTATTTATTTATTTATTTACTTGAAACAGGGTCTGGCTTTGTCACCCAGGCTGGAGTGCAGTAGGATCTCGGCTCACTGCAACCTCTGCCTCCTGGGTTCAAGTGGTCCTCCCACCTCAGCCTCCCAAGTAGCTAAGACCACAGGTGGGGTTGGGTTATCTGGCTAATTTTTGCATTTTTCTGTAGAAATGGGTTTTCCCCATGTTGCCCAGGCAGGTCTCGAACTCCTGAGCTCAAGCGATCTGCCACCCTCAGCCTCCCAAAATGCTGGGATTACAGGCATGAGCCACGGCCTCCAGCCTAGGTGACACAGTGAGACCCCATCTCAAAAAAAAAAAAAAAACCTTGGACTCCGCAAGCTAACCTGCCATTCGGTTACAGGACGAGGAAGTGCCTTGGAACTGCCCCTATGTGAACGAGTGCTGGTTATCCAGGAAATGTCATTAGGCAGAGATGTAGGAAGCCACCTTCCTTTTTTTTTTGAGACAGAGTCTTGCTCTGTCGCCCAGGCTGGAGTGCAGTGGCCGGATCTCAGCTCACTGCAAGCTCCGCCTCCCGAGTTTATGCCATTCTCCTGCCTCAGCCTCCCAAGTAGCTGGGACTACAGGCGCCCGCCACCTCGCCCGGCTAGTTTTTTGTATTTTTTTTAGTAGAGATGGGGTTTTACTGTGTTAGCCAGGATGGTCTCGATCTCCTGACCTCGTGATCCGCCCGTCTCGGCCTCCCAAAGTGCTGGGATTACAGGCTTGAGCCACCGCGCCCAGCCGGAAGCCACCTTCCTAAAGGTGCTGTCTGCAGGTGACTTCAGGTGGCCGAGGAGATACAGGCAGGGCAGCATTTGCTACCATGTATTAGCCCTGACACTTGGTTCTCAACAAATGCTTATTTTCTTCCCTTCTCTCTACAGAACATTTTCTTTGGACCCAGATATTCCTGGAAATCAATAAAGCTGGTTTTATTATGTGTATGGCAAAAATGTCGTTTGCTTTTATACCACCATATGTTTTTCTTTTTTTTTTTTTTTTGAGACAGGGCCTCACTCTGTCACCCAGGCTGGAGTACAGTGGCACAATCTAGGCTCACTGCAGCCTTGAACTACTGGGCTCAAATGATCCTCCCACCTCTGCCTCCCGAGTAGCTGGGACTACAGACATGTGCCACCATACCTGGCTATTTTTTGTATTTAAAAAAAAAAAATTGGAGGCCCGTCCTGGTGGCTCACACCTGTAATCCCAACACTTTGGGAGGCTGAGGCGGGCGGATCGCCTGAGGTCAGGAGTTCAAGACCAGCCTGGCCAACATGGTCAAACCCCATAACTACTAAAAATACAAAAATTAGCTGGGTGTGGTGGCGCATGCCTGTAATCCTGGCTATTCAGGAGGCTGAGGCAGGAGAATCGCCGAACCTGGGAGGTGGAGGTTGCATGCAGTGAGCCGAGATTGCACCACTGCACTCCACACTCTAGCCTGGGCAATAGAGTAAGACTCCATCTAAAAAAAAAAAAAAAAATTAAAATAATTTTTAAAAATAAAGATAGGATCTCACTATGTTGTCCAGGCTAGTCTTAAACTCCTGAGCTCAAGCAATCCACCTGCCTTGGCCTCCAAAGTGCTGGGATTAAAGGTGTGAGGCACCACGCCTGGCCCTGGCTAATTTTTGTATTTTTTGTAGAGACTAGGTTTTTGTCATGTTGCCCAGGCTGGTCTCAAACTCCTGGGCTCCGGCAGTCTGACCACCTCGGCCTCCCAAAGTGCTGGAATGACAGGCATTAGCCAGAAATGTTCATATAAAAAAATCTCACAAATGAGAAAATCTGCTTTGTCAGGTTGCTACCTAATTATTACTTCCTCAACAAATGTTCATAGCAGCACTATTCACAACAGTCAAAGGGTGGAAGCAACCCAAATGTCCATCAGTGGATGAATGGATAAACCAATTGTGGTCTGTCCATACAATGGAACATTATTTGGCCTTGAAAAGGAACGAAATATTCATGCTGCCACATGGATGAACCTTGAAAACATTATGCTAAGTGAAAGAAACCAGGCACAGAAGGTCACATAGTGTATGATTCCACCTATATGAAATATCCAGAATAGGCAAATCCACAGGAACAGAAAGCAGACTTGTGGTTGCCAGGCTGTAAGGAGAGAGGAATGCAGTGTGACTGTATAATGGGTGTGGCTCTCTTTTGGGGGTGATGGAAATGCTTTGGATCTAGATAGACGTGATGACTGCATATCATTATGAATATACTAAATGCCACTGAATTGTTCACTTTGTTATTTATTTATTTAGAGACAGGCTGGAGTGCAGCGGCTCAATCTTGGCTCACTGCAACCTCTGCCTCCCGGGTTCTTTCTTTCTTTCTTTCTTTTTTTTTTTTAGGCAGGGTCTCGTTCTGCTACCCAGTCTAGAACACAGCGGCATAATCATAGTTCACTGAGCGTCAACCTCCTGGGCTCAAGTGATCCTCCTGCCTCAGCCTCCCCAGTAACTGGTACTACAGGCATGCACCACCATGTCCAGCTAGTTTTTGTATTTTTAGTAGAGACGGGGTTTTGCCATGTTGGACCGGCTGGTCTTGAACTCCTGACCTCAAGTGATCCTCCTGCCTCAGCCTCCCAAAGTGCTGGGATGACTCGTGAGCCACCGTGCCCAGCCGACATAACATTTTTTATTTAACGAAACTTCGACTGTCGAACACTTAAGTTGGCTTGTTTGAAACAGTAGATAATACTGCAGTCCATATCCTTGTAAAAAATATTTGAGCATATGGCAGATGATTTTCTTAGAAAAGTGTCCCAAGGTGGACTTACTGCATGTCCTGATTAATCTTGGTGTCCCCAGATACTCTTTGCAGCCTCCCTTACCTTTCTCTGTGCCCTGGGAGACTGAGCCAGCCCTGAGCATTGAATCACTTACTTCCCCTGGCCACTTTGAATAAGGTTCCGCCATCAAGAGGCAACAGCAAGGGGGACAGGTGACAGGAGGGGAGGGGGTATGTATTTGTCCTGCTCCCTCCCTGCTTTGCTGTGGTTCTGGCAGTGGCTGCAGCCCTAGGCCTGTAACTTGGGTGTGGCCAACCCTCCGAACGAACTGTCTGGGGTGCTAATGGAGTCCTGCTGTTGCACAAGCTTCAACTTCCCCTCTTGGTTCCCTTAACCCGGCCCATGTCTCTGTAAATAATAACTTCACTACAACATCTCTTCAAAATCCCAGCTGGGTAGGGAGATTAGAGGGTCTTTCTAGAACACCTGCTAATATGAACAAGTTCTCCTTTGCTGGCCATTTTTTTCAGTGTTCTTGGTTGTCCCCACTTGTCTATGACCTTTAGATTCACTATGTAAAATTCCCCAAAAATATCATATTGGAATTTTTATTATTAATACAATTGCACAAAACTGGCCATGTGCAGTGACTCATACCTATAATCCCAGCACTTTGGGAGACCGAG